TATGAACCATTTAATTTTGTAGTATGAAACTCCAAGTGAACAGTGTCCAAAGAGCACACAGCAGTCTGGAAAATGCCCTGGATAGTATTACTTTTGATATTGACTTTGATTTTGCCATTTTTGTTGCACTTTCCCCCCCTATTTTAATTGAATGGTCTCAAGTAAGCACAGCTATGTCCTCTTTATTCCATCAACAGTTTCAGAGGAATGTGTCAAAGCAGTGTGCCATTGACTGAGCTACAGAGTTTTAAACTGAAACAGTTACCCTGATATTTAAATACATAAATAAATTCTTATTAGAATGATCCAAACATATTCCTATGAGTAAGTAACAGAGTATGTCAAACCTTTGCTATGGAAGGAATAAATGCTGCCTAATCCTAAGGTTCAAGTTTGAACACAAGTATTCCAAATTTTTTTGGTAATTTTTTTTTCCAGACATTTACCATTGTAACATAATTTTAAATTTCGCCCTCATTACTGTTATCTATTTTAAAAACCAGTATCCACATTTCTAACTTTGTTGCAGAATACTGAAAGAAGGATATCCTTACTGGCTTTCCTTGATGACTGCCTCCTGAGGAAGATGAACCCTGAAAAAAGATACCTGTTTTTGACTCTAAGTCTATTTGCACTTATATATTCTCACTGTCTGGAATAAAGGACTACAAGAGAGTGAACTCTGTCTCGTGTCCAGTCCTCTAAAAATCACAGGGAAAACCTTATCTGAGATACAAATATCTAACATCTTTTTGTTACAAGTATTCTTTCAAATGATGAATTGGAGGTTTTGATATAATGTTCTCAAGAAGAAAGAACTGTTTTGTAGTGATGTGTTTAATACATGGAATGGAAAAAATAATAAGGTCTAATGAAACATTAATTCACCTGGTATCAATCTATGTTTACATTTTGGGGAAAAAAAAGACACCACCAACAAAAAATGTAAATGTTAGAGTCATTCATTCTACAGCCTCTATTTGAAGAAAGCTCTAATAAGAAAGGTAACTCTAAAAATAATTGATTTAGAAAAATAAAACATCCTATTCAGCTTTCTGGGAAAGTGGCTCTGCTCATTTGAACGGCATTGCCAACAGGAAATGTTACAAGCATTGACTCCTTCAGAAATGCCATCAAATACAGGACACGAAGTGTCTCAGCTTTATGATTCATGTCTTAGAAAATGTAACATTTATGCCCACTTTTTAATAACAGGTACACCTTCTTTTCTATAAGACATAAGCTAAAACATTGTGTGTGCTTATTGGTATCTGCTGCCATTGAAGGGCAAGAGCAAGGTCCAAATTACACAGCAAAAACAGTAGTCTGACATGTGAGAAGTTGAAAATATGCACAGTTAAATGGCAACTATTATTGCCTTCAAAAAGAAAAAGTAAGTATTTTCTTCAAAGCAAACCAGAAATACTTAAGACAAATGCATTTAAAATCAATGAAAAACTGAGCCCTGAGGACAAAGTGTATTATTATTTTGAATTTAAACAGAAATAGCTGTTCAGAAGTTAGTTAAACAAACAAATTAAAAATAAAATCCTGTGATCTCGTTCTGTGATTACTACAAGTTCAGTTACATAGTAAAATGCTGTCTCAAAACAACAGAACTGTGTGAAAATAAATATTGTGTTTGCATTTGTTGAGATTATCCCAGATGACCAAATCATGTGAAACTCTTTGCATATTGAAGTAATTCTCAGAAAACTGTCTGGTCTATAACTGACTAGATACAGATTTTTTAACAGGTGTATAAGAAAAAAGAAAGACAAATTTGAATTTTTTTTACTTACTGGTTTACCATGTTGTTTGCCTCCAGAAGAATACGAGCCCTGTAAGAAGTCAATGCAACATCTATTAATTGAAGGAGAAATCTTCTGTCACTGCCTTGAGACAATTTGTGCAGTACTTGGGACAAACTTATGTGGATGTTGTTTGAACAAAAACAGTAAATGAGGTACCTAAAACTTCGGCTCTGTACAGCACACCAACCCAGTGGCAATTTGAACCAAGAGAGCAGGGTGATGAAATGCAGTTTGGTGGTTACAGTGCATTCAAAGGAGTGTTTTACACAGAGCAGGAATCCACTGTAACCAGATCTTTTATTCACCTTGCTGAAATGACCAATTGGTGTTGCCTCAACTATTTAGGCTTTATAAAATGGCCAGATGAAGGTATCTTTCAGCATCAAGTAACTGACCTGATCTAGAAAGTACGTTAGGAAAAAGTTAGGAGTGGATGGGATGGAAAGATAATACACTCACCGGCCCACCATACTGGCTGCCTCCTGAGGGATAAGATCCCTATTGAAAAGAATTTGAGAATTTAATAGCAGTTACTTTTATTTTTTTTCTGTGCAGAATGAAACATCACAGAATGACTTTTAACAGGAGACCTCTGTAAAAATCTGCAAAGTATATTAATCTAAAAAGATGCAGTGAAAGACTTCTGACTTAATGCCTCTAAGTTCCTCAACAGCTGAAAGTACTAAATTGGGCAAACAGTCACCAACCACCTGCTAAGGCTGTTCTGTTACATAATGAAGTGGATCTAAAGTGTCTTACATATGGCTTTCAAGAGAAAAATAAATCTACTTTATTTGTGATTTTCTGCTACATCAGGTGTGTTCAGAGACCATCATGTATATTATTGTAAAAATATCCTTATTATTCCATATCAGTGATGTGGGAGAATTGATTAGCAGCTGTAAAAATACTCTCCATGCTACAAGAGATTATCTTCTTTGTAGAGTGATACTGAACTCAGCTGCTTGCCAGTAGAGTGAAAAGAACTTACATTTTAGTATAGCAGAGTGAAACTTTGCTAACACAATAATACTAATGAAAAATAAGCTCCATCTTATTAGGCAGCTGTCCATTACATCTGTCAGCTACTTGCACTAGTAGGATTTCTGAATCAGTTACAAACTACTAAGTCTAGAGAAGGTACTCAGGGAGCTGATTACAGTAAGAGACTTGAACTGCAGCTGCAGATGAGGAAAGTACTATTATTGGGTGCAACACACCAGAATCTGTATTTTCAAAGCAAGATCTATTGGTATGTTTTGTGCCAAATTTTTCCAAATATTTAAACAAAATTAAAAAAAAAAAAGATAACTTCAATATAATTGAAAAATAACATAGAAAATATATTTTGAACTGGTGTCATAGCAATGTGAAACTCACACATAAAAATGGTTAATTAAAATTATCACTTGAGATAAGAGACATTCTGAAGTAAAACAACTATTATTTTATGATCTGTGGAATTTCTTTAAATTGAAGTTTGTTTGTGCTACTCCATTTCAGTTACTGAGAGATGGTCCCTGTTTTCAAATATTTAAGATTCTCTCTGAAAAACCACCAGTATATGCACTGCATCAGATTTGTCATTTAGCAAGTGGCAAGTAGAAAAAGATCTTGAAAACAAAGAAAAGGTGCTTGCCTGTCCACCGTACTGATTGGTTCCAGAATATGATGAAGCCTGTAAAAAGAACATGAAATTTTCATAAATAGTTTTCTAAATAGCATCTGGCAAAAAAAAAAAATCCTGGGCCTAGTATAAACAATACTCCTGACACCGATTAACTGGGAAAACTTGACACAGTTATTAATGCAGTGGCAAATGACTAGTTGTCCACACATCGTGTTAGTGGTTTTGGCAGTGAGATGAAAACCCTGTGAATGATTCTTCAGTAATTTTTTGAGGTAAGAAAGCTCCTGTAACTACACAGTAAAATCTTGACTCTAGTTCATAGAAAGATATAACTGGAATGTCAAGAGCGGCTCAGTAGGAGCCCCCTCTGCAATTATTGACCCTATCTCTGTGACTAAACTGAGCTCAATATTTGGTGGGTTCTGGGCAAATATGGCAACTGAGCCATGTTTATTCCTGAGGAATAGTTCCTGAGGAACTAATCTGTGAAAATGTTAAAGACAAACTGCCTACCTGTCCACCAGGGTAGTTGGCTCCTCCGAAAGAGCCCTGTGTTCAACAGAAATAGGAATGTTTATGCTTTATTAAATTCAATGTCACAGAGGAGAATCAAGAGAACTTATTGACCAATTGCAGTGATCAAGTCATTTACACCGATTATTACTATACTTTTGATTAAACAAGTAAAGGATTTAGTTTTTATTCATCCTGATTCGTATGTCAAGTATTTTATGTTTATATATATAATATATATGTATAATATGTATGTTTATATATAAATATATATCACATATATATGTGATAATTATTATAATTTCTCTTTGTATAAATTCTAATTTTTAGGTTATTTTTGACACTTTTGATTCTCAGAATTTACATGGATGTCATGAGTTGTATACTTGGGCATGTGGTTTTGCTTGATTATGTAATCAGAGAAAGAGAAGTAGTCATCTAAGCAATTTTGAGTATACTGAGGATAGAGGTCACTGAACTATCTCTTGGAAGTAAATTAGCTTGATCTCAGCAAAACAATGGAGTGGGTTTTTTAGATGTGGGGGTGGGTATTTATTTGTTTGTTTTTAAAGTATTTACAAAGGTTTAAGGAATATACTAATTAGACAGAAAAAATGGAAATATTTTTAGCTTTTAAATGCATTGCTCTGCTCCAGTCTGAAAGCATTTGGGGACATGATTTTAGATCTGAATTTCACTAGTTGAATCATGCTGTTAATAAGGATCATAAGAGCAGCACTGTTACACACACACGTCCAAAACCCAATGAGATGTTTGGGAAACAGATTCTTAGAAAAGTCCCAGGCCTCTCTCACAAACTGAGTAGGTAGTTTTGAATACTGTACTGCAGTTGCAAGTCACTTAATATTTTTGTCCTCAGCAGGTTCAAAATTGTTCAATTCAGCATAATGTGAAGAAAACTTCCATCATACATCATAGAATTTCACAGACAGAATTATTTAAAGAAACGTAGCTCCTTGGGAATTTTCCAGTGTGTGTACATACTATGAAAAATACATAAAGACAAAGAATACTTACTGGACCTCCACCGGGGCACACACACCCACCCTGTACAAAACACAACCAAACTTACTTTCCTGGGTCTATGACTGGAATAGGCCTCTGAATTCATAAATCAAACTCACATTCTGCTAACTCTAAGCAAATGGACTATGAAATCATGCTCACAGACTCCCGAAGCTCCATCTAAAAAGTAGTTTCTTTTTGCCTCCCCTGCCCTTTTCAGGCTAGCTGTGCACTTACTCATCAATTTGTTAAGTAGAATTTTCTAATTTCTCATTTAAAATTTACAGTAAAAACCTACTCTCTAAAATGGTGAGTAGCAGATTCTGAATAGTAATACAGATTTTATTTTTTTTCCCCTGTGGAGACCAGAGCACGCAGAACTTCCCCAGGGAAGTGGTCACAGCACCAAGCCTGCCGGAGTTCAAGAAGCATTTGGACAATGCCCTCAGGCACATGATGTGACTCTTGGGGTGTCCTGCATAGGGCCAGGAGTTGGACTCGGTGGTCCTGATGGGTCCCTTCTAACTCATGCTACAGATGTTATAGGAAACACTAAAGATGACTTCCAGTTGAGGCTTATTAGGTAATTTCTACTCTGATAAAACTAAGCAGGAGGTGGCCAGGGGTTTACTAATCAGTGGTTCACTTTCCACATTCAATCTGGATGAAATGTGTAAAGGGAAAAGGGTCTCATGAAGGAAAGCTACACAAAGCAGTTCGTGAGTGCCTGACCCTAGCAGAACTGAACAGTGCCAAGAAAGAACATACCTGTCCACCAGACTGTCTGACTCCTGAAGAAAAGCCCTGGAAAAAATGAGTGACTAATTATTTCTGTGTTACTGAGTAACATTCTCACTTGTTCTCTGTAGTGCTCAGTCTTTGAAATTGCTTCTGTTTAAACATAACAACAAAAAATGGGCTTCTCAAACCATGACCTGTTAAAGCAGCATTTCCATGCAGTCCCACAGGCCCCTGTATCGTTTGCTCACACCATGATCTGACGTACCAGTCACACCCACACTTAGCAATCCTCACTTAGCCTGGCTTAAAGCCATTCTTTCTTAGAATGTTCTTTTTTTCAAAAAATACAGGCCCATTTTCCTAATGTTTTCCTAGCTGTGCACCCAAACTGCAGGTACTATGAAAGTTAGAAGTTTTACCTGTCCACTGTACTGGTTGCTTCCTGAGGAAGCCATACCCTAAAGAAATGAGAAAGCATTTATATATGTTGCACATTATTTAACTTATGACCTGCCACAGAAAAACACATTTTTATTTGTCTTCTATGAATTTAAGTGTCATAGGAATGCAAACACTTATTTATAACCATCCTGAAAGCCACTGGCCTTTGCAGTGGCTGCTGTTTAGACAATGAAGTTTGAATCAAAGTCAGTGTCAGGCAGGTGTGAGCAGCTCTGCTGCCCTGGACTGTGTGCTCACAGCAGCCTCCTATGTTTTACTTACAAGAGTGGGCTGACTCAACAGAAAGTGATATATTCATCTGCTCTGCCTAAACACTGTTTTGCTGTAAGCTACCCCTTTACAAAGTATTCTATTTTTCACAAAAAATGGAAAGATGAACGATGGAAAAAACAATCCATAAATAGAAAAACAGTTCTCACCTGTCCTCCATAATGGCTGCCACCTGGGAAATATGGACCCTGAAGCAAAGGTGCCAATTATTTCTCAAATCAAAAAGCTTCTTTAAGAGCTTTTTAAAGAAAGACTTTTTTCTTTCTCTGTTGCACAGTGAAAAATTACAGGAAGATAGACATTCAAACTACTGCTCTATGTGTTCTATGCAAATTAGGGAGTGTCCTTAACATACGAATCTTCCATAATATTGATCATGAGCTCTTACATGAGGATACATATGTAGCTTTTTGAGACTGTACTTGGACTGAAAATCTCTTTCTCCTCTAAGCCCCTTTCCAATAAATCTGATAGTAAATGTTTTCTGAGTCCCAGGATGAGTTTGTTGGGGATGTCACTCCATATTAGAGGCTATACCACCAGGCAGCACTAGGAACCTTATCCATCATCTTTCATTTCACAAGGACATGGAACTCTTAGCAACTCCTGATCTTCTGCCCTGTCCCTCTTCTGAGATACACTGCTTCTCTGACATCACCTCTGATACTGCATTTTGCTTAAGGAAGTGAGGTAGAGGAGGAATGAAATCTCCTTCCAGCCACTCCTCACTGATAGAGCTAAGAAACCTTGACAGCAGCAGGGCAGGTTGGAGGGTAAAACAAGGCCAAAACTGCATTTACTGTGATACAACAGAAGCATAGGTCTTGTACTGTTTCAGATAAATTTTAGATACCTGATCATCTAATAGCAGATCAACAGAGTTCACTCAGAATGTTTTTTCAGTCAATGTAAAAGTAACAAGTTTTGACGTAGGAACTGCCTGTTAGAATAAGAACTACACAGGAGGAGATTCTCACCTGTCCTCCATACTGGCTGCCTCCTGAAGAAGGTGAACCCTGAACAAAAAAGAATTAAATGATCTCTGTGTGTCATGCTACTCCTTTGAACCATGCTCCACATGAGGGAGAAGTACCTAATTTCTTTCACTGCAGAACTGTGAGTGCATTGAACCACAACTGGGTAAGAATCATCTGCATTTACCAGGATGCATCAGAAATTCTGTCTTAAAAACTCTTCTGTGGCTTTGTGTCACATACATTTATAACTACTATATACCTACCAAAATTAGATAAAACATGGGGGAAAAATCACCAAAATAAAACACAATCTCCTTAAAATGTTCTTTTACACAGAGACATTTATCAAATGCCTCTGATGAAGCAGTAAACACCACAAGGGAAGAATTCTCACCTGTCCACCATATTGGCTGCCTCCTGAGGATGGTGAACCCTGAAAATAAACAAAAAAGGAAACTGAAACTTTTTTACACCAATTTCATAGACTCATAGAATCATTTCATGAGACTTTAAAAATTTTGGTTACCTTCATGAAGTACTTATTTATTTAAGAAATACATGACCTTTAGTCCTGCAAATTTCAGGAGCTGAGTCAACCATGTGTTTCACATTCTATTTTTTATTAGTCTTAAATAATGATCTTTATCTGAACTTGTTTTGTTTAATCACAGTGGCACCAGAACATTACTGAGAAAGATTTACTGAGAAGACTTTAGACTAAATTAAAGCTAAAATAGACAGCCAGCGAGACAGTGAATAAACTGCAGCTTTGCATAGGTCAAAACTACAAGAGCAGGGACTATTAAATGCTTACCTGTCCACCGTACTGGCTGCCTCCATAAGAAGATGGCCCCTGGAAAAATATTGAAAATTGGTTATTTTTGAATATCTAATTCATGGAGATGAGCAGCAAAGAGATCTGTATTTTGTTATTTGATTGTTTGTGTGCAATTATCCCAGAATAAACTGTATTTTTGTCTTCCTTGAATTCCCATTATTACTGCAGAATACAGACCACTGTCAACCTTCTTGAAATAATAAATTGAGATCTTCTACTTAATAAGAGTCAAATACCTATAAAACAAATATATCATATAAAATATTAAAAGTAAGAGCTTACATGTCCTCCATACTGGGTAGCTCCTGAGGAATATGAATCCTGTAAAGAACACCAAACAAGTGAATCACCTGCAGTAGGATTTCCTTTAACCAAAACATGACTCTCCCAGGAGCAAGAGAGCAAGGTAAGAGTGAAGAGAGGTGAGCAGGACTTTCATTACACTTTAATGTTCAAGCCTTACAAGGTAAGCTGGAGAAATACCCGAGTTCCTAAGCAAGGGTGGAAGGCAAAGATGTACTGCTTTGTTTGTGTAACTTATTGGGAAGGTTAAAATGGCCTTGTTTCCAGTTCTTTCTCTGCTTGTTTCTGGAGAACGGAATTTCTTTATTTGGAAAGCTGAGTCCTGGGCCCAAGCTAGCAGTAAAATATTGGCTACTCAACAGACCTCTGAAAACCAAACTTAGCAGATTTACTGATACCTCATATAATAAGAGGTTTCTTTAAAGAGGGGAGATTGGATTTGTTTTTCTTTATAATGGGTTAGGTCCACTAGTAATAAAAAATGCTACATTTTGATTAATTCTTTCCCCACACTTTTTTTTTGTTGTTGTTTTGGTGAGCTTCATGATGCAAATTTCACAAAAACAAGGGCACTAATTCCTAAAAAATCCCTTGTGTGTAATTTTTAGGACATATCAAACTTGATGAATTTAATTTACTGAGCTTTTGCCTTTTATAGACAGTTTCCATGTAGAAACTGAATTTAAATGATGTGAAAAACTGGCTCTCCTTTTGGAATGAGTGCTTACTTGGCTATTGTACTGGCTTCCTCCAGAAGAAGATGAGTCCTGGGAAAAAAAAACAAATACCAAAACAATCAGTTATTTTTCTCTAAAAGAACTATTTCAAAGCAAAACTTCTGGAAGGATAGCAGTATATAAATTTATAATTTAAACCTCTTTGCTTGGGCTTAAAATCCATTCAAAATGTAAAATTGAGCCCTCCCTGCTCTGTTAATATGTCTAAAATTCAGTGTGTAACTGTGGACCAGAATGGCTGCCTCCAGAGCCCTTTCAGAGAGGAAATACCGTTTTTTTCACTTCAAAGGATATGAACGAAGGATGGGCAGCTTGTTTGTTTCAGTTTAAAATCACCATGCTGAAGAACTACGTCCTTACAAAAAGTTTTCATATTAATTCTTCCAGAGTACTACAGACCTGTAGAGTACTCTGAGCTTCCACAAGATCTGCTAAGCTGAGAAACTGTCTTTTGTTTAGCACATAATGTGAAACATGTATCAGAAATGTGTCCTTCATCGTGAATCTTAACTGTGTAACATGACTTTTCAATTGCTCTGTAAAGAAAATATGAAAGATGACAGTCTGAGGTAAACTGCAACTTGTACCAGGGGGAGAACTGAGATCTCCCCTCAGTATGCAAAAGCTACTCTCCCGTGGTGAGGTACTGGGTGTATCTATGCATTAAAGTACAGATTGGGGGTGTCCCTTTGAGACAAAAGTCCTGATAGTTCCCACTCCCTGTGGCTCGTTTTTGTATCATGGGGTGGTCTAAGAGGGAATTAACTGGATGCCATTCAGATTAAACTAAATTTTAAAATGCTCTCTAGGGGTACACTTAATGTATTCAGGTAGTAAATGGACTTCTGGCCCGTGGGACCAGACCAGAGCAAACCACTCCTGAAACATGTGTAGTGTGGCCATCAGTTCATCAGCACTGTTGCTGTCTGCAGAACTTGTTGATGCAAACACTCCACTATGTTCCCTCAGTCTTTATGCACAATCCTCAATTCCAAACTGCTGCCCAAAGACAGCCAAGTCAGTAAAAAAACCAAAAAGAATCAGTCCCAGTTGGAAGTTTCAAAGGAAACAACAGTAATATGAAGGATGTAGAACACAGGTGGTTAAGAATATTTTCCTGACTGTAGATACACACACTTTCCTCCTTCCTACAAGGGAGCACAAGACCAGTCCTATTTACCGTGCAGTATTAATTTTTGTATAGCACATTTCTGTAGCAGTGTCCCAGCCAGCTCTGTAGCAGTCAGCAGCCTGGTACAATGTGCTACAACACCACAGGGTTCTGTGCTAGAGGCAAAAAGACCCAAATGTTTTCTTCCCTTTGGTGCAGCACATACAGAGCTGCCATGACATACATTATGACTTTCCAACACACAGTGAACAGAACTGGTCTTGGGAGTGCTGCAAACAGATCTCTCCTGCAAAAATGTTCTTATCCCTGTGAGAGGGCGAGCAACATGAGATGACCGACCTATGAATAGTAACCTTTTTTTGCAGTAAATGATCTGAAAGGAATACAATCATACAAATCCATATCCTTGGGGGACATTTTTACAGAATTCCAAAGAAGCCAATGGAACTGACTCCTGAAGTAAATATTTATACTGTTATGTACCTGCATTTGTGACAAACATTTTTCATTGAAAGACTTCTCTTTTCACGAAAACTATTTCAAATGGAAAGAGAAGCTGAGTGTTGTGTGAATGTCCTGTGTATATTTTTGATTGAGACTAAGGTATGTTATTCTCACAAATGTATGATTTCTATTAGGCACTGACTCTTTTAACCTCTCCAGCCAAAGGAGAAAAAGCAAACAGAGGGCACACTTAAAAGATGATGAAGATTGCTTACATTTGCAGAGGCATCACTTCTGGTTAAGGTAGGGGAGCCACCCTGTAAGGGGGCGAAAAAAAAAGGAAAGAAAAATTAGCCTTTGTCTTTGATCATAAACTGGAAATGAAACAAAACCTTAAAATGCCTGTTCTATGGCATTTCAAATGAAAAGTATCACAGTCTGAAATTAATTGCACTCAGACTTCACTTCCTTTTATCAATTTACCAGGATAACAAATAGTCTTTTTTTTGGCCTGGAAGTCTGTAAATCACAAAGTATCATATTGTATCTATCTGTCATATTGTTTAGCCTGGGGAAAAGGAGGCTCGGGGGGACCTTATTGCTCTCTACAGCTACCTGAAAGGAAGTTGTAGTGAGGTGGAGGGTGGTGCCTTCTTTCGAGTAACAAGCAATAGAATAAGAGGAAGTGGCCTCAAGTTGGTCCAGGGTAGGCTTTGATTGGATATTAGAAAACAAATTCTTCACTGAAAGGATTATCAAGCACTGGAACAGGCTGCTCAGGGAAGGGGTTGAGTCACCACATCTGGATATATTTAAAAGATGTGTATATGTGGCACTTAGAGACGTGGCTTAGTGGTGGGCTTGGCAGTACTGAGTTCATGGCTGGACTTGAGGCATTTTCCAACCTAAATGATTCAATGATTCTATAACGCTGAATTCTTCATCTTGGCATAATGAGAAATAACTCCTACTGTATCAGAAACATCTAAGTCACCAAAGGAACAATGAATATGAAATTAAGAATACATTCAAGTAAGTAAATTAAAAATAAATAGGATCACTGATAATTTTCCAGTTAAATAGTTTAGTAACAGAAAATGTATAATGAAAAAGTAGCACTTACAGAACTTGCCCCAGAACAATCACATGCACCCTGTAAAGAATGCAGAAAGTATTTATGATATCAAGAGCACAGGACTGAAATGGACTCCAGGTACAACTCAAATTACTTCTACCATCCCAGATGTGCAAACCATGGAGACACATTCTTAACTGCTCAACTCCTAGAAATGAGTTTATTTCATCCTATGCAACTATTTCTGCACTTGCTGCTCTGATGGAACAACAACATGCTAATTTTGTTATCTTCATATTTTCTTTTATGCAGTCTTTACCTTAAAAACCTTACTCGCCAGAAGGATGAGTACTACTGCAGAAAGCAATTTTTTTTCCTAGAGAGGCCAGAGCAGCTGGAGTACATGCAATACTATGTCCTGTTACAGATGATACAGAAAACAGGTGATTGCTACTCTGCTAAAACTATCTGAGAGGTGGCCAGGAGTTCACCATTCAGTGTCTCACTTTCCACATTCGATCTGCATGAAATGTGTAAGAAGAAAAGCACCAAAGCAGGCACAGAAGCTCAGATACAGCTGCCAGCCAGTTACTACTGGCTAGTCTGGCCTGCAGAATGTCCAAATGGCATGGCAAAAGGAAACGCGTTGCTGAGGCTTTGGGCAAAAAGAACAACGGTGAAGGAAAATAGTTCTGGTGAAGGAAAGATATGAAAAGATAGTTGTGAGTGCCTGACACTAACACAGCTGAAGACTGTGGAGCAAGAAAATCATACCTGTCCACCAGGCTGGCTGCCTCCTGAAGAAGATGAACCCTGTAAATGTTATATTCTCATTTAAATTTTTTTCTTTAAATTTTGACGTGTGCATTTGTTTACAGTGTATTGTCTTTTTTAACTATGTTTGAAAAGAACAAAATTTTATCTATGGAAAGATTAATGAGGACAAAATAAACCACACAGTAGTCTGGAAACTTAGTTATTACCAATCTGGCCATACTCTCTGGAAATATGTACACCAGGGGAAAAAAACCCTCACAGTAACAATGAAGAAAAATGTCCCACCTGCCCACCATACTGGCTGCCTCCAGATGATGATGAGTCCTGAAAAAAATTAAAATTACTTATTTTTATTTTAAAAATACAAATTGAGACTAAATATTTATTACTTTATTTTTTCCTGATCTTAGAACATCAGTTAAGACAGGAATTGTATTTTGACCACTCTGCTTACACTTGGGCTTTTATATAGAGATATAGAATGAGGAATGAATCCATCCTGTCCACAAATAAAAAATTGCTGTAATACAATATGAGGCC